AAAAAAAAAAAATTCTAACATGTTTATAAATTTGAATTTCGAAGTGACTTAACTTAATTATAAACGATTGATGACAGATTCAGTACATGTACTTATATTACGCATATATACAGTTGTAAATGTCTTCTCACTTATTATATATTTCTATAACCAATCACATATTAGTCGTATCTACCAAATACTCGTATGGTCTGTATTGTCTTAAAATATTCAATATACATAAAATGGGTTTAGTTATTTAGGTCATGGTGTTGAAAACATATTCACCGGAAACATTTACACAATACATGTGTGTGTGTTTATGYATATATTTAAATATTATATATTATTTTAGTGACAGAGATTTTAACCAACTGACAATTGATAATATTCCAACATAATAGTAGGTATTATGATGTTGTGTTGGAATATTTTCTGAATTCTGACGAATTTTCAAAYGGAGATGGAGATTCTATTTCAAATTCGAGTAAAAGGGTTATCGATCGAAGTCGACGGCGTGTGTGAGAGATAAGGAGACATCCCTTCTCCACCACCGATGAACCATTGCTCCACCACAGTTGCATTCGCTCGTATTGTTACCACTACTGAATTTCAATTCATTTTTTTCGCTTTCCTTTTCTTTGACAATACCGAATTCACTCTATTAGTGTGCGCTCACGTCGCTACCGTACGTCATTAACTTGCCTGCCAGCGTTATACGCACGACGACGTGGACGATAAATAATTATCATTATTTGCATCCGTGATTAATCCTAACTGTCATTAACCGACCCAGTAGTACAGCCTCCTCTCTCCATTGTTGGTTTTTCGATTTTTTTAAATTTCACGAACTCATAAAATATTTGTAATGATATATTATATCATATAATACCCCTATGGAAGGGGGTTAGAATACTTCCACGGCTGATCAGCCTGTCATAAAAAGCGACAAATTAGGTTGCGTCAGGTCGACAGCCGATGTAAAATTTTTGTCGAATCTATATGAGAGGTTCAAAAAATTATGTAGGCRTGTTTTCCCATCTCAAATKTTCACGGAGAAAGCAAGTGAGAAGAAATGTAGTAGTTGGGTGTGGAGTTAGTCTGAGAGATKTGGTGACCACTACCAGCCGGTTAGGTTAGGTTTGGTGCGGTAACCGCTTCATCAATCACATGAGAGGGTCTATCCAACGCCCGTGATGTCAACGGTGTAGGAAAAACATCACAGATTTGGGAAGTAGATCCATGCCCGAGTAAGAAGAATAGGTTTAAAGTGAGATATGGTACATGGAACACTGACAGGTAGATCCAAATAATTAGTAGAAATTTTGCGAAAGAGAAATTTGAATTTCTGTTGTGTACAAGAAACGAAGTGGAAAGGAGAAAAATCAAGGGAGATTGGTGAAGGGCACAAAATAATTTACTCGGGAAAAATAAATACAAGGAATAGTGTAGAAATAATAGTATTATATAAAGACGTGAAACSAAAAGTAGTAAAGGTTTTCAGGAAAGTGATAGAGGAAGAAAACGTGTTGAATATAGCTAGTGCATATTATGATCCACAAATAGGATCTAAGGAAAGTCAGAAAGAAGTGTTTTGGAGGGATATGGATGAAGTAATACAGAGAATACCAGGAGCGGAAGAGATTGTGATAGGTGGTGATATGAATGGTCATGTAGGCTATGATAGACTGGCTACAATAGAGTACATAGAGGGTATGTATTTAGTCTCAGAAATGATGCAGGAAAAGAGTACATGATTTCGCTACAGCGTACGATTTRGCCATTGTGACACATATTTTAGSAAGAGAGAAGAACATTATGTTAACTTCAAAATTGGAAGGAATARGTCTCAAATAGATTATTGTATGGTAAGAAGAGATAATTCTAAACAGTGTAAGGATTGCAAAGTAATTCCAGGAGAAAGWGTGACAACACAGCATATAGYTATGAAGATCTAGCGCAATAAAAAGAGGGTAACCAGAGTTTAATTGAATATAGATTCCAAAGAGTAAATCAGAATAGGCATGTAGTGAATATGGTRGGTGAGGCAGTGGACGAGATTAATAGTTTCAATTACTTAGGATCTGTATTACAAAATAATGGTAGTTTTGACGAAGATATTATGCATAGGATTATGCGTGGGTGGATGAAGTGGAGAGAAGTATCAGGTGTTTAATGTGATAGAAAAATCTCAATCAGGTTAAAAAGTAAATTTTATAAGACAGTAGTAAGGCCGGCAATGATGT